GCAGTTGTCCAGGAAACGGTTTCCAGGATAGCCATCGCGATGGGAGACTTTGCTCTTTTCCGTTAAATCCGTGGCATCTTGTGTAGAAGTGTCCAACCCCAAAACAACGAGCTTGGGATGGGATGGAAGACTCGGGTACGACGGGTTTGTGCTCAGGTTCATCTTCTGCGTGTGGTGAGCCTAATAGTGCGTGTGTGTGTGTGTTTCCCTGGCATGATCCAGCAGTTTATGGCTCCAAGGGTTCAAACATGGCCATGGATTCATACACGTGTCTTCTTTTCTCGGATGTGTCATCTTCTTGGGCTGTTTTAAAGGGAAACTAGAGGAGAACCACTGGTTGTGGAGGTTATCTGTTAGACAAACCCTATACAACTTGCTGGTTCAGCAAGTGGTTTTGTCAGCACGACCGACATTGAACCAGCATGGGTTGTTCTTAGTGTTATTCTTGTCGTGCGCAAACACCCCAATTCGTAATATGGGATCAATAGTGGTTGTCAAACTGCAGGCTCTCAGTGCCTCAGTGCAAACTTTGCAAAAAACAAGTCCCAGCAGGGGATGAGAAAATGACCCCATTATTCAATCTCTTACACGTCGTTTCCTTCAAGCGAGCCCCGGGATTCAACGCAACCCCCCGCTCATTTGCCCTATTGGGAACCAGCAAGACAATCAGGCTACATTAAAGCGTTGTTGAAGGGCAGCTTCAGGTTTGTGTTTTAATTGGATGTTCTTTCAGAGATATGGAGGCCAAACAAAAAGACAAGGGGCACTGCCCAAGCTTATACCCAAATACTAAACCCCCATTGAAACAATGGCAGGGACCCAATTTGGATGATGAACATCCTTAGGTAACTCATGGTGGTTATACTATGCCCCGTGGGCTTAACGGTAGTAATTGAACCCCAGCTAGGTCCTCCAGTAGAGAGGCTAGAATAAGGGTACCAACTTTCTTTCTGTAGTCTATTTTAGTAGGGGAACCGAATCTCCAAAAAAGGGGGAGAGAAAGGCACCTAGCTGGGGACCTAGCCAGGGTATCGGGGTAAGCCTCCAGAGCTCCAAAACTCCATTAAACCATTTGCGTGTCCGCGGAGAAAGCGCCAGGGCCATGGCCAGGGGGAGGCATGGGATGTCAACCTAGGAATAGGCGGTGCCTGCAACCCGCTGATAGGGTCTCGTATTTTAATTGGGAATCCGGACGGGGACCACTTTCTTAGCAGGGTGGTTGTTTGCATCCGGTGCCCATGAGAGGGACTACATGTGTGTGTGTGTGCGCGTGTTTGTTTGTTTGTTTGTTTGTTTGTTTGTTTGTTTGTTTGTTTGTTTGTTTGTTTGTTTGTGTGTTTGTTTGTTTGTTTGTTTGATTGTTTGTTTGTAGTTGAGGTACCCTTTGGTCTTTGTTCAACGGGAAACCAAATTGAAAGGTTCCCTTGAACCCAGTACAATCCGGTCTCCATGGTTGAAGGCAGCTCCGATATTAGCAAAGGGCAACAGGGCACCCAAAAAAACGAATGAACAAATGGGTGTGGGTCAAAAACAGGTACCCAAAATAGGTTGCCCTGCGGTCCCCGGTGGCTTAATTTTGACCCATACCCAGATCACCGCAAGGCGATCTAGGCAGTTGGCTCAGCTTGGCGCGAGGGCTCCGAAGCCCTTCAAGTGTCCACTTGGGCCATGGGAAAGGAAAGCGGGTTGGTTCTAACAACTCTTCCGAACTCGGATGCCAAAAAAGTCAGTGTCCTGTGGTCTGTTTGAGCCTGTTGCACGAGTCGCTTGACCAAAGGAAACTGCAGCGATCCAATCAATATGCTACTTTTGATCATCTGAGGTGCGTTTAAAGATGTCAAATATTCACACGGTGGTGTTTGCTTGATCGTATTGAGCTCATAATCATGATAGCTTTAAGCTCGGAAAGGATAACCGAATTGCACTTTTCAGATGCCCAACGTGCAGGCTTCATTGCGCTTCTTGATCGTCTTGGCTGGATCCCCTGTTCTACTTGTTGTGTCTTAACCTTCCAAGGTGGCTGCATTTGGCTGCGCTGGACAAACAATGACACAACATTGTGTGCAGACATGCACGCAGTCAAGCTCCAAGTTGCCTGCGCTACCGCGAGCTACCGCAAATTCAAGATGGTAAAGTTGGATGTGCGTGCTCGTGTCACTCCAACGTAGGCTTGCCGTGATGCAGACATGTTTCACAAAGCTAGCTCTCCTGCCACCAGTGTGCAACATGTAAGGCGGAAAAATCCCATGGTCGCTTCAAAATGAACATCCCTGGCGCTTATGTTTGTTTGGACATTGTTTGTCTCATTGAAAGTATTGGCTAGGGAAAGCCATCAAAACTCACAATGACCTGAAATTGAAATTAGTACTAATTCCGACTTTTTTCGGAGGGTGCATTTAAGCTAATCACTGTTTTAAGGGCAGGCCCCCCAGGGGCCTGCCCTTAAAACAGTCGGTAGCGCTACCGACTGCTGTAAGCAACCCCTGATTATGTTAAATGCACTTTGGACTACCACCAAAACTGCTTAAAACAATCAACCAAGTCGCCCCGTTGATCTCAGGGGGTTGCTTACAGCAGTCGGTAGCGCTACCAACTATTTTAAGGGCAGGCCCCTGGGGGGCCTGCCCTTAAAACAGTGATTGTCTTAAATGCACCATGCGTTGAGGCCAAGATGGCACATGTTACGTGATGATTAAAACAGTCTGCTTTCTTGAGTGTGTGTTTTAAGCCGTCGGAAAAATCAGCGCCAAATAATCAGGAAAGTCTTCGATGGGCCTTGCTGTCAGGTCATGGTCTAGGGAGTGCAGGGCCAAATGTTTGGCTTCACTTCTAGATTCAGACTGGGCATAGTGGTTCAAAAACTCAACAATTGGAGAGGGACACCTCTGCTTCAGCCCACTGGCATGCGACACAGAGTCTACACATTGCGCAGCTGGGCCTGAGCAGTATACACCCAAAATGAAAGGTTTCCGCAGTTTCGTTACAATGCCATGTTTATTTATCCGGTTGGCTGTGCTGACAGAACAGCGGCATGAGCTACAAGAGCAACAGTTGTCGACCCAGATTTCTTTAGAGCAAGGGCGCAGATGAACGCGCATTGGCTTGATGATTGCCAACAGGACCAGACTTGCTGCAACCTTCAGACAGCAGCATTAAAAAAACACCCAATGAACACGATGAGCAGTGATTAAACGACTTACTTAAATGCACCCCAGTCATTCGTCAAATTTCAGGAAGGGCTCGGAGAAACCCTGACAGTCTTTGGAGCCAAGCACACTTGCATCTGCATCAGGGTTGACCAGCATTTTTAGAACGACAAGGCTCATTGCCTCAACAGACCCAGCTCTTTACCCACATGCCTCATTTATTGTGTCGGCTCCCCATGGCCATCTATATATATCCGCCGACATTGCTCGGCGTGTCGGACACCTAAGAGAGGATAGAGGATAACCCCCCGGCCGACGTCGGATACATGGGGGGGCGGGGCGCCCCACGGACCGCACGGCAATTTGATGACATTCGACTAAACGTAGTCTTCGGGGAGCCGGTGTCGCAAAACAGGGGTCCCAGGCTCGATTCCCCCTGCCGGATCTTGGCGGGTTTGGGGTTCCTGCCTCCTTTTGCCGAAAATCTGGAAACACTCTGTGTTTTTGGACGTCCTAATTGCGAAAACGCTGGAAAACGTGTTTTTCGCGGGAAATATTGTGGAGCAAAGGGGAAATGCAAGGAAGTGCAAGGAAATGAGGAGAGGAAATAGGAAGTCGACATGACAGGAAAGCAGCGGGAAATGAAAGGGAAACAAAGGGGAACTGAAAGGGACATGCACGGGACAGAAATGAAAACAAGGGGAGTGCAGGGGGAATGAGAGGGAAACGAAGCACAAGGACACCAATAGGCACGACGGAGATGTAGGGACATGACTCGCAACGAAAGAACGGGGCATACATGGAAAATGAAGCGGACATACCGAGAAAATGTCAGGGACCTGAAGGGGGCAATTGAAAGGCATGGAAGGGACATGACCAGGACATCATGGGAAACGTGAAGAGGACATGAAGGGGAACTAATAAAAAAAAACAGTGCAATGCAGAGAGAGAGAGAGGAGGGAGAGAGAGAAAGAGAGAGAGAGAGAGAGCGAGACACAGAGAGTGAGAAAGAGAGAGAGAGAGAGAGTGACAGAGACAGAGCCAGAGACAGAGCCAGAATCAGAGAAACAGAGAAAGAGACAGACAGAGAGAGAGACAGAGAGAGAGAAAGAGAAAGAGAGAGACTGAGAAAGAGAGACACAGAGAGACAGAGAGAGAGAGAGAGACAAACAAAAGAGCGAGAAAGTGAGAGAGTAGAGAGGTTCGAGTTAGGGTACCCTTTTTCTGTGGAGGGGCGTGGACAGGAAGGAGACAGGGAGACAGAAAGACACAGAGAAACAGAGAGAGCGAGAGAGAGAGAGAGAGAGAGAGAGAGCGAGAGAGAGCGAGAGAGAGAGAGAGAGACAGAGAGAGGGAGATTAAGGAGAGACAGGCTTGGGGGGATGGGGAGGAAGAGGACGACAGAACACACAAGGGAGACGGAGAATTGGAGAGGACAATGTCGGCGGACTGAGCCGGAGGCTCTAAAGGGTATATTATAAACAGTAGAACTGAAGAGCCATGATCAAAAGGCCTGAAATCATAAGAGCAAACTATCTAAGATGATTTCCACCCTACCCCACGGAATAACGGGCTGTGTATTTGTTGTGTATTCCATTCAGCAACTGGCTGTTTTGTTGAAAGCATCGATTTGCTCAGTGCAAGGGACACCGCTCTGAGTTACCTCAGCTTTCGCTTTGGCCCAGCCAAACATTATATGTTTGCCATATGTTGATGGTCCATGCTTGATGAACTGTACAATGTACTCAATCAAATGACACACTAACTTGCGGATCGAATTTTAACGAAACTGAACTCAACACCTCGGAAGCCGAATCCGAATTTTTTTTGGACCCCGGTGCAGGGTTCAACGAGTCAAGCGGGCTCTTCTCTGAGAGTGCGCCAACAAGCTGGCCGCAAGCAGCACAAGGGTCTCCTGCGCGGAGCTTGCGGATAATCAATGGCCTTGAGCAGATTCTGAAGCGTGGGTGTTCTTGGGATACGATACAGAGTCTCATTGTTTTGTGCAGCCGAACGTTTGCGCTTGCAAAATGAGCCCTTTGTTGGCTGATTTGCTAGGGAAACTCTAAGAGCACTTTCAGGGAGCCACAGGGCAACTGGAAGCACTGTGCAGGGAGTGAGTAGAGACAGACATTTGGGGGTTGATCAAAAGGTCCTTTACATGGGATGACCATTCCGGCAACCACCAAATTAGGCGCCTTTTCCCACATGGGACAAGTTGCTGGTCATTTTGGGGCTTTTAACGGAGCGTTGGTCAACTTGCAGGGAACAAACGCAACCTTGAAAGCTGGACACACCGTGACTGTCCGCTATATCTGTGGAGGGATGTAAAAATCTCGGCTGTAAGGGCGGAACTCCTCACGTGCACGGTCTCCTAGACTGCTTTCCCTTGCGCCAAACTATCTGCGGTAGGAAACATATTGCTACGGGGAAAGCTCCTGAGGGCTCCATAAGGGAATTCAATCCGCAAAGCCTGGTGGAACATATCATTTGCTGTATTCGCAACAAGCACTCTTTCCTTCGGAAAATTGAACAAATATAATACTGTCTGGAATCAAGCCTAGGCAGGAAAATTAAAGAATCTGATCCGAACAGTAAACAGGGTTTCGTGCAAGTTTGGAGGCAATAATGGAAAATGAAAGGGCTCGGACGCTGGAACGCAATGCTGCTGCTGTTTCCCCCGTAGAAGGTGCGATTGATTTGCTTCGCGCGCGAAGTCAGAACTCATAGACTCACAGCCTTTTTGCGACGTTTTAGTCAATTCTAACTCTCACAAATGATGCTCAAATCGGGGTTGAAGCCTAAAAGGTGCAACAGCAATTCGGAAGTTGTGTCAGTGTGTCACAAAGCCAAATGCGCATCGAGGGTCCAAGTATGAAGGTTTACCCTAAAGGATATGGGCAAGCTAGGGAGTCCCCCTGGATTTGTAAGGAATTTTAGTAGTCCCCGATGTCTCTCCCAAATGCATATGGACTGATAATTTGGACGCAACCTTTGACCTTTGGTGCATGCCCTCATTTCTGAACTGGCGAAAGCGCATGCGTGATAGCTGTGATTGGCCTTGTTGCGTCTTGTCTTGTTCAATTAAGTGGATCAAACAAATGGCTGTGGGTCACAACCAATGGGATCCCATTTTGGGGTAGGTGAATTCACCCATTTTAGACCTGATTTTAGTGGTTGGATTGAATCGGATGTTCGCTGCGGGTACGGAATTTTGGATTTTGACCCATGGCCAAATCAGATTCAGTGACCGCGCGCTCGTGAGCTTGGGGACTTCTTGGAGGCTGGAGCTTCTCTAAAACGAGGCCCTGGCACCTTGAAGGGAACCCAGGTCGAAGCAGAGGCCTGGCCCAAACCTAGCTCTTCCCTCAAACCAAACGGCAGAAACGCCCCTTTAGGCATGCGAAACCTGATTTGTCCAAAGTTTCAAAGGCTTCGGCGGAACTATCCAAAACCAACACAAACTCTCCAAACATGGGCTGAGACTAGCTGCAAGCTAGACAAAACAAAAAAGACACAGCGGCTTTGGGCCAACAAGCTTTCGGAGACCATGTCTCCTTCGGACCCGAGGGTATGGATTCTTTTTGAAGCTACTTCTTCAGGTTTGCTGCAAAAAGAAGCCAAGAGGAACCGCCCTACTTCCATGTGCGTGCTTAAGCCCACTGGCAAAAATCCAGCATATGTCCGGTAATGATTGATTTGTTGTTGAAAACGAGTAGGGGGAAATAAACCATAGTTCTAAAGCAAATGGAAGACACCCTAATCTGATCATGACTTGGTGACCAAGCAAGCAGCTCTGCTCTGGCGGTCCTTGTGGCATGCGGGGCCTTGCACGTCCTGAAAGGGCTCACAAAAACAACAGGGGCGAAGAAAAGGCTGGGCAAAATGACAGGAGCCCCAAACAGCCACATTAGAAGGTCGGAATTGCATCGTTTCTCCGAAAGCTTCAAACAACTATCCATCCCCATTTTCCAGCGGAAGCTTCTTATCATGTGCAATTCAGTACGGAGAACAGCAACGGCACATCTAGCACCAATGGCACTATAAGCACCAGTTGCAACGGCCAAACATATTGACACTCAGTGCAAAGCACTCGCGGTACGGATTCTATGGTCTGAGGACATAAACTTCTAAACCTGATCCATTTGTACATGCCTGTGCCCATCTAAGTCCTTTAAAAGTCAAGACACCAAAACAACTTTCTAGACTGATCAATTCCTGGCGGGCCGACTTGACAAATCTTAGATGATTCTTTACTCGAAGTAGCTGACCAGTTCAAACCCATTGACTGTTGGTCCCGACGCAGCATCGCACTTGCGCTTTTTTTACCATCCAACCAGAGGGAAAGGAAGTTCCTTTTCCAGCTTTTCTAGATTTCCATTTAGCATCATCCAAAAGGAAACTGACTTTTTACCACAGGCCCAAGAGATGACGCTCAAAACCGCGCTTCTAGATCTAGGGGAAAATCAGCCGGGAACCCTCTGGGATCGACCGGGCGTTCCTAAATTCAGTCCGCCTTTCCCACTTTGAACGGGTACCGAAAGAGTGTTGTTTCAAACATACTGTGGATGGACGACATGTTGCACCACTTTGAAACCATGGGAAACCATTGTTCATGACTATTGACAGGGAAAAATATAATTCCAGGGTTTCTTAGGTGGTGCAGGATTTCGTCCATCCACAGTAGCAAGTTGAACATGCTTGTTTCAACTCCGCCCCCAAACTACTTTTGGTGGGGCCAATCTCTATCCGCGTTGAACCGTTTTTGTTGCTTTTAAATCAGGACCGGGTCCTCAACTCATTGCAAACACAGCCCCAAATCATGGAGACATGGGGTTTTCCATTCTTTTCCCCGATTCCGAGCCCCGAAAGTGTCAAACCGGCTCCGGCCTAAAAAGAAGAAGAACACAACCACAAAATCAGAAAAACAAGAAAAAACAACTGGCCAACAACAAAAGCGGCCTTCGCACCCCATCCAAGGGCCTCGGCAGCATCTCCAGCACTCTGCGCCTGTGGCGCTGTAGGCAAAGTCCGCAGGTCCGGTGGCCCTGCTCGCAAACAGCTTCCGAAGGTTCGGGGGAAGGGCAGCACTCGTCCTCGGCAAAAGCGGGGCACCGCTTTTTGGACCCCAGGGGTGCAGCGTAGCCCGGAAATTCCGCGCTGAGTGCATGGAAAAGACTCAGGTGCAATTTGGTGGGAAACTTGTGCTGTCAATTGAGGTGACTCGGCATCCAAATGGCTCCATTCTAGGTTTGCAATCAGGTTTACCTTTGGCCCCTTTTTGAGAAATAGTTGGATCGCACCCGGCTCAATACAAATGACCCCCTAACCTAATTTATGGCTGAATTCAACCATTAATTATGTCTTAACTCTGGGATATCAGCACCAAATGCTCCCGAAATGGCCGAGGATTCATACATGAGTTGCCCTTTTTTTTCTCCGACATATCCTTTTTGGGACCGTTTTGACGGGAAACCAAAGGAAGAACCACTTATGTTGGAGTTTTGGAGGGTAAATACATATATATATATATGTATGCATATGTTCATGGCGTTCTCAGGGCTGTCTTTGGAGATATGGATGCCAATGTAATGTTGACCCCGTATTAGTCTGTAACCCCCCCCCCCCCCCTTGAAGGTTGGAAGGTTTTGGGGGGGCAAGATTTTGGAAGGTTTTTTGCCATGACCCCTAAATAATCTGGAATTGAGTTTCAATTGATTTAGTATTGCTGGGGCTTCCTTTTGAGATCTGGAATTGAGTTTCCATTTGATTTAGTATTGCTGGGGCTTCCTTTTGAGATCTGGAATTGAGTTTCCATTTGATTTAGTATTGCTGGGGCTTCCTTTTGAGATCTGGAATTGAGTTTGCATGGCCCCCCCAATGGGATTCCATGAAATTTGATGAGGTTTCCATTGAGATTGAGTCACTTTTCCATCAGGTTTGCATGGCCACCCCAATGGGATTCCATGAAATTTGATGAGGTTCCCATTGAGATTGAGTCACTTTTCCATCAGGTTTGCATGGCCACCCCAATGGGATTCCATGAAATTTGATGAGGTTTCCATTGAGATTGAGTCACTTTTCCATCAGGTTTGCATGCCACCCCAATGGGATTCCATGAAATTTGATGAGGTTTCCATTGAGATTGAGTCACTTTTCCATCAGGTTTGCATGGCCACCCCAGTGGGATTCCATGAAATTTGATGAGGTTTCCATGGAGATTGAGTGATATTGGGCTCGAATCTGGCTGATTAGGCAGGCATGGTCCAGCAATGGCATCTGGAACATCAAGCTCATCAGGCCTAGGCTCATGGGAGGAATTGTCAGTATCAGCTCTATCAGCTCACAATGAGGGGCTGGAATCAGATGAGGACCTGGCATCAGTTGGGCATGACTCTGCATATTGGGCCAACATGTACACAGGATTGGTCCATATTGGGAGGATGGAGAGGCCATTACAAGCTGAGGTCATTAATATCATTGGCAGGTTTGTTGGCCTATCCAGAGCTGATACATGGTGGGCATTGCCATTGGGTGGCATCACATGTCAGTTCTGCTCTCTGGCCAATGGTGGATATCCTGCTAGATGCAGGGATCATATTTGAAGACCCTGCATTGCTGGACTCATGGGGTGAGCTGGAAGTCATCAAGCTTTTGTGCTAATATTAGTTAGCATTTTTGGACCCATTTGTTTACCCCCCCCCCCCTTATTAGTCCGGTCTGTGCTGAGCATGTTTTTTTCATTGGCTGATCTGAGGAAAGACCATTCAGATGTGGACATTGAGACTGTGGTCATTGCTTATGGTCTCATTAGATGGATGGCTACAAAAAAGACAATGGAAGACATCCAGGATGTGGAGTTCATCCATCCAACTGCGCTGCATGGCATTCTATCTGAGGATGCTCAATACATGAACCAAGAGGGCATCAGTTCATATGTGCTGAAGAAGATGAAGGGCAAGGCACAGCAGGGTTGCATTTGTTGACCATTGTTTGCTTGACTTTTTTGACAACCCCTGAGGCCAAATGCTTTCTCATGCCATTTGCTGCTGGTCACCATATTGTGCTCCTGGTAGTGGATTTGAGACCAGGCATATCCAAGCAGGAGCAGATCAGATATTATGAGACACTGACAACTATGAGTGAGCCATGCTTGCACAAGGCACATGCCATATTGGCATGGCTTTTGAACAACGAAATCGTGGATGAGGACTTTTTGATGAGGCCTCCATTGGATAGAACCAATGCCAGCATCAGGCAGCCAATTGGCTCCAATCTGTGTGGATGGTATATCATGACCTACTTGGAAATGGAGGTTGCCATGTTGACTGGACATGGCCCTGCTGCCATTGGGTGGCCTGAAGAGGCCATGCAAGCTTGGCATGCCAGGATGCAGAAATTCATGCCCCAGTTGCAGAAGGAGATAGACATGAAGAAGAAAGAGGTTACCAATGGCATTGCTCTATTGGAGAAGTATGGCCAGAAGGTCATGCAGGAAAGAAAGAAGACTTATGATCTGGCATGCAACAAAATGAAGAAGGGTGAGGCATTGACTTCATTGCAGATTGAGGCCATGGCCATTGTGAATGAGAATTCCAAGCTGCAGATTTCAGATTTGCCTGCAGAGTATCACAAGGCCATTGAGAAACTCCAACACTATGAGGTGGGAGTGTGCAGTAGATGCAGGTTCCAATCAGGCTGCTTATCATGCAGCATTGAGAAGTGCACAGCCTATTGGATGAGGAGGGAAGGCAAGAGATTAGGAAGAAGCATATGTGCAGAGTACATGCTATGAATGTGAGTTGTCAATATGGATGACATGTTCAGCCATTTCTAAGAAATGAGCTCAAGAAGCAGTGGAGAAAATGAGATAGCAGCGGCCATCTGGGGCAGGGACCGGTCTAATTGGGGGGGGTTGTTTTGGTTTTTTTTTTTTTTATTGAGGGGGGTTTTTCTGAGATATGAATTGTTTAGTATTGGGGGGGTCCACCCGGACCGGATTAATAGGGGGGGGATTACTAATACACTGTCAACATTATCACCCATATAAGCTTGCAAGACCGTGTGTACGCCTTCTGCAGGAAGTTTAGAACCTCCATACAAAACTCATCTAAAAGTGCCCTTGGCTGTTGGACAAACAGGGGTCACTGGATTTCCCCAAACCAGTTGATTGATTTACTTGTGGCTTCCATTGAAACGATCGGCTTCCACTTTTGGAGGTTCCAAGGAAAATGGCTCGGAAACCCAAGAAACCAGACACACTTCTGTGATGAAACCCCCCCCCCCCCCTAAAAAAGGGGAAGATTCCCTGGCATCACAGTTGGGCTAGACCCCGAGTGCCTGCGCAAACACGCCGCACCCATTGGCACGGTCCTCCAAGAGCAAGCGCACGGAGTCCAGGGCTGCCAGACCACTGTGCACTGCCATGGCTGCCGCCCACCCAAAGGGGAAAACGGGGTCCACGTAGAAGGAAGAGTACCAGGCCTCGTGTTTTGCAGTGGAAAGCTCCTGTCATCGACAAGTCATAGACAAAAAGTAGAACTTCTTTGCCGGTATATCTGTCAGAACGGTAAAACAAGCACTAATGCATCGGATCAATCCAGACGGTCTTTGGTCGAAAATTCCGGTCAAAGAGGTTTTCACATGAATCAAACGGCAGAAGGGGGGAAAGTCTTCTCATTGACGTGCCCTTCGATACACGAACACCAGAAAAGTAGCACTGGACTTGCTAGCTCGGGGTCATTCCTTCCGGGTCTTGGGGAATGAACCTGATTCCCTAGGCATGGGAATGGATTTGTTATGGCGGTTTCAGTTCTCATTCCTTATCGAAGCAAGGACTGCTCTTCGGAAGCGGACTGCTCGGAATGAGCGGGAAATAGCTAGAATTTGCCTCGCGGAAACCCCTGTCTTTCTTTGAGGGTTTCAGAGGGGAGCCAACAGGAAACCCATCACTCGGTCTACCTGAAGGCAAATCGGAGTTGTTTGTGCTTGCCGAGTAATGAGCAATAAACCACATCCTTGAAGTCTACCTTGGGGCAATCAAAATGGAACCCTGCCAGGACTATAGATGACTATAGATACGGCTCAAGTGGCTATGCTTGAAAAAGCGAGATATGAGCCAGTCAAAGTTGCTTGTATATGAAGAGGACATGAGAAGACTAGCGAGTCCTGTCTTTTGCTGTGCACAATATGTGGGCCGGTCCGTCACATTCCCAAACCCTTCGGCTAGACTTTACTCTCCACCCTACGTTGCTCCCATTTGATGCGATTGGAATCCGGAAGGGTCGGCAAAAAGGGGCCCGGAAAAAGAGGAATCATTTGGGCCTAAATACTTACCCCTGCTCCAGATACCCCTTTGTGTAAAGTTGTTTGTTATTTTTGTAAACAAAAAAACTGATTTCCCATGGTGAATACCTGTCCTTGCTTAGTCAGCGGTTGACATCATACCCTATCATATTACACTTCCCTGTAGTGGATAGAATGGGCTTGTGGGTTACTATGAACCCAAATTACTTCTCACGACAATGGGATAGTAGTGTGCGGAAAACTGTCTAGCCCTCATTGCACTTGTGGTTTCTTGGCCAACATATATGGGGTACACAATATCTTGCGATTCAGTTTTCATATTCCATCAGCACTAGACAATAAGGTTATGTTGAAGAACCGACTTATACTTGCTGCCCCAAAAAAAGGAGAAAAAAACAAAGATAACAAACAACGTTTTGGTTCGCCCCGGCCGAAGGCTTGGCTTGGCCGCGGCATTCAAGGCGACCGAGCTCCGCGAAGTCCGAGTGCCTGGTTGGAGGTGAAGGCGCCAGTGCAGCACCAGGAGGCGAGATGCTCGCAGTTGAAGGCTTGGCAGTGGTACCCGCTCTTCCCCACCGCCCACAAGCCGCGCCAGGCCGCCTTGCGAGAAAATGAACTCCAAAATGGCGCCGGTGGTTTTGGTTTCCCAAGACCGGGCCAAGAAACGGGTCCCGGGCAACCCGAAGAAAGACAGAGCCAAATGGGATGGGGTGGGCAGGGATGGGTGTGTCATTTGACTCACCAAGTCACATCAAACCAACTCCCAAGTTGAAAAACAGCTGAGTACATCAATCAAACTTTCAACGCAACTCCCGACCAAGTCCTGCCAAACTTGGAAACCACTAAAAAAACACATGCCAAAAAGAAAGCGGAGGTCAGCCAAGATTACCATCAACACAGGCATCTCTCGTCGCGCCTCCTCTTGCGAAAGCCGCTCTGCGTAGGTCCAAATCAGAAGATCGGCGCCCCCGGCAAAGTCCGCCGTTGGCAACAGCGCCACCGAGCACAAGCCCCCCAGAAGCACGCCCCTTGCGCGGAGACTGACGCGGGATCTGGTGGGCTGGACGGCCCCCGCGGCCAAAGACAACCCAGGCCAAACTTGGGGTGTGTCAGGGCTAGGTGCGCCAAAAAACAATGCTATACCCAGTGAGGACATGGGTACATTACTTTTGTGGGAGACTTAGGCGGTCGCCAAATTAAACCAGGACTACTTTTGACACTGTTGAAACACAAACTCAGATGAGTACCGGTCCTCCCCATTTTATCAAATTCTACGCCTCATGAAGGCCCAACTCACGCATGCCCGCTCACAAATCTCAAAGCAAAGGCCATGCCAACGCCTCCTGCAACTGTTGAAGCCTTGCAGCTGCGACAGACTCCGTGGACCCCCAACTGCTAAACCCTGCAAAAGATTTACAGCCGAAACAAAAGCACAACTTTGGGCGGCTAAATGAGCTGTGGTCAAAACTCCCATGGCCTATTGTCATGGTTGCCATGATGGGAATCATTGTAAAGTGGTGCTTCCGGATTCTTACTAGTTGCCTGGTGGATGACCATCCTTGATAATTCAAGTAAACATGTCTTTTGATCACGGTACATATGAAGTCAGCCAGTTGAAGCGAGTCTGCCCGAGTCTCATGGGAGCAAAAACAAGTTCCCAGTGGCCAGCTTTGACCGCTGGTGCCTCGCCCATCTGCTGTCCAGTTTGGGGATGTGGGTTATGCATTCTGATATGGGATCCTTTGGTGGACGTCATTGGCATTTACCTCCAACCAGGACTTCTTATTGGGAGATTCACAGCCAGGAGCGCTTGGCAACAAATAACCTGGCATAAAGAAGGTATGGGTCAAAACCAAAAACCACCGGGGACCGCAGGTAGTCGTTGTTTCCATTTACCGGTGCAACCCTTTTGATCCTCATGTTTGCCCCACCCATCAATGGGCCGCATTGGATGTCTTGCGCCTCATGGACTGCAGGCGGGAAAAATGCAAAGCCAAGTTGGCCTAATGTTGACCCCGCATACAAAAACAACGTCATATCTTGATACATGCGATCTCGGCTCTCCTCTTCTGACAGTTCTAGCCGTCGCCATCCAGCACAGCTCAAGGTTGACATGTTGACAAACAATGCTAGTGACCATGGACCAAGGCAACCGAGCAATGGCGCCAAAGCCAAAGCCAAGCCTTCCCTCAGCAGTCTATTTGCAAGCTTGGCCCAGTTGGCTGTCTGCCCGCGGGTTCAGCATGAGCAAATCGGAGCCCAGTGAGCACATTAGCCCATGAGTCCCACTGTCATCCACCCAAAGGGTGGGTTGGCCAAAGACTCCCTCGACTGCATGCCCCACACCCGGCCAGCGGTGTGAAGTAGCCCACTTGCGGCTCCGTTGGGTAGGGCAAGAGCTAGCGGGCGAGCTACAAGTCTTGCCTAAAACAATATACTTACTCTTAACCATGTATGCGTAACAAATAAAGGATGATTGAAAACTCCGTGCTTTTTCACTGAGACCCTTAAAAAGCGGTAGTCTCCGTATTTTAGGTTAAATTTCCATACTTGGAAGATCCAGGTGTAGCCTGCCTTGCGAGTCCCGTCCGGAGAAAGGCGAGACCCACTGGCCTGGAGCATTTGTCGAAGGAAACCACCGAATCATTGCCTCGGCTTCGAGGGGTGGGTCAAGCCGGTGGCTGGTTTGTTGGTTTCCCTTCAAGCCAACCTTAAGGGAATCTGAGACACACTATAGACTATAGATATATCATCCGGGAACGGAAATACAAGGATCGTGGCGAAGTTCACTGGAAATCCCTGTCCATCTGGGGGCGCAAAGGGATCCAGGAGCCCAAGCAGCTCGCAGTTTGTGTCACAAGAATTCATGTTAACCCCTGAAGTTATCAAGTCTCATCAACATCTCAGATGCCCAGTGGCCATGCGAAGAAAGGGCATCCTGTTTGGTTTGTTGTGTTTCAAGGGGAACCCTTTCCAAAAACAAAGAACAAAGGGCGCCACTGGGCAACTGGGATATGAAAGAAACAAATATTGCTTCCAATAGGACGCCGCGCCCCATGGTGGGTGTTCTACGAATCAGAACCACCAGTAATCCCAACTGGCACGACATCTGTTCCATCTGCCCTCTCTGGCCGCCCTTGTAGCAAGTGGCCATGGAACATGTGACGCCTCCCGCAAATGGCGAAGGCATACTCACAGGCCCGAGATCTTGAACGCCCAGGACAAGCAAAGAGTAGAAAATGGTTCTGGAAGACTCCGAAGTTGTGGAGCCACAACTTCTAAATTGACTTCCTCAAACGACACATGCAAAATCCATGCAGGGGATCTCGGACTCCTCAGAGGACCTCTCCGGTCAAAATGTTGTCATCTGCAATAACGCCATGACGTGCCGCCAAGATAAGAAAAAACATGGCATACGCCTGGCCAAGATGCCCACATAGATCCCATGATGCTCAGGCAACTGGAAGAGACTGCTGGCCGTCTCCGGGAAATCTGCCAGAGACCAATTCTCAAAGCTGGGCATGGACAAAGTGCTGCTTTCATCTGGATTCTCTGCAGGCAGCTTGTAGCTTGCAGTGAACACCTGGGCAGTTTTGCACCATCGCACCACCGGCTAGCCAAAGCACAAAACATGTCAGACGCGGACATTTAGCGAGTCGGCTGGCTCTTGTGAGAATTTAGTGAGTTCCCGCGTTCCTCCCAAGAAAACAAACTAAATTTGATTGTTTTGGCCAAACCTTTTGTGCCTGGGACTTATTGTTACATAATGTCGACTCCGGGTCAGCCAAAAGGGTGTGGAAACACAGAGACATGCCCCCATCCCCAAGCTACCAGTAGATTCCTGACGGGCAACTTTCAGATTCATCCAAACACCACAATTCTAGTGCTACCTTCCCCATTCTTTCCAGGGATCCTTCTTTCTAGAAAACCTCCGGAAACCCGGGGAAACGGCCGCTTTGCCTTTTTTTTGACAAGAACGATAGTTGAAAAGAATGGAAAAAGAACCAACCCTTAGAACCATCCCTGCGAAATTTCTTGGGTGGAGAGGTATGTCACCCCCAAGATTCCTAGCAGAAGTCCTCTTTTCTGAGTTTCACGTTGGATGTCTGTGTCTCTAATGACGCTGTATCCCAACCTGCGTGCAAACTGTTGGGTGTAACCGGGTGTAACACATTCGCCCCGGACGATGTGACATGGCTTTGTCTCTGATGGATCTCTCAAATTCGGCGACATTGCTCGAGGTTCCAGTTTTTCAGATCCACCGAAAAGGTTATTTAGGAGACCTCATTGGTGAAAAGCCCCAACCAAATGTTTGGCGATACCAAGAAGGCAACATGGAAGTCACAAATATGCGGGTTTGCGGTTTGAAAAACGAACAAGGTCCCCAAGAAGGGTACCTCGCTCCGGACCCTGTGGACGTCGGGAAACGACTGTTTGTTGATATCTACAGGATAACCATCATTCCAGGGTTTCTGAACAGTGCTGCGAACGGATTTTTGGCCATCCACTGTATGTTTCCATGTTCTGCCATCAGCATCACATGCTTGGCCCACCAGCGAGTTTTTTCTCTGGTGATGCCTGCAGGCAAAACAGGTGGCTTTCCTCCTTGGTGTCCCAAGCCGACTCCCCAAAACGAGTTGGCGCCGTTTGCCTCGAAAAAATCAAACAAATCCTCCAATCGCATCGCGAATCGCTGGGTCGAGCCAGGTGCGTGGTCTCCCGGCGCCGGGCGCACGGCTTTCACCAGTTTGTGCAGGATGCCCAGCTCCTGATGGGCGCGGACCTCCTCGGTGTCATCGAAGCAAGCCTCGCAGTACGCGCACCTGCGATGCTGGGATGGGGATGTGACCCTGAAATGCGTGGTGCTCCCTTTTTAAGGGCGAACCACAGGGAACGCAAAGGCAACCCTTCAGGGAAGCCACTGTTGCATTTGAAGCGCCCAAAACCCGGTCACTTTGGCTCTAACATTGTTGTAATTAGAGACAAGTGGCTGTCTTTTGGAGTGGGAACATTTTTGTTTGGGTTGGTTTCAAGGGAAACCAAAGGGCAAACCGATGCCATGTTTTTTCCACTAAAACACAGCCACACACGCAGCCAAGGCTACCCTTTCGGGGGGCTTGGAGCCGTCCGTTGCGGGGAATATGTTCGTTACACAGGGGGGTTCCGTTTTTTGGTGGATTTTGGTGTCCCGTTTCTTCATCTGGGGAGTGTTGGAAAGGAACACACGAAACCCGAAGAGCAACCAGGCAAGCAACAGCCGGAAGATCCTTTTGGGTACCCCTGAACATCGAACCCTTCCAGTGGACAACTGGGTGATACTCTTCGACATCGATCCGAAAACCAAATGATTGCCGAGCAGGAAAAAGACACCTCAGCTAACCGCGAAACACCCCCCAACCCTCATCCAGACGGCTTTTTCCAGCACCTCTCAGCATGGCTGTGCATGGACGCATGGACCCTGTCTCTCTGATCAAGTGCCACTCCTGCGACTTTGTCACCCATTTCTCCCTTGCTAGCTCACCAGCTCCGTTGCTCCGTTGCTCCGTTGCTCCGTTGCTAGTCACCCATTTCTCCGTTGCTCCCTTGAAAAGCGAAGACTCACCAGCTCCGTTGCTCGAGCCCTTCCAATCACCTGCAGCTTGGTACTGTGGATGGACGAAATCCACTTCGTTGAAACCAGGGGACACCATTAAATTACCTTTGTTGGTGGAAAACACGGCAATCAAATCATTCCAGGGTTCGTGACTTGTGCGAAATGGATTTCGCAACCATCCACAGTATGATGGGGAACCCGCATGAATAAAGCCCTGCTTGTTGTGTTGTGGTTCCCGAGTGACCAATTCCCCACTAGACCCCACAAGCACCCATTACAAAGCTGGAATTGACGAGTTCGGGGTTCCCAAGTATCACTCTAGGGGTTGATTCCTTTTCCATTCGTTTCAACCATCGTTCTTTTCAAAAACCGGCTGTTTCCCCTGGGTTCTTGATGGTTTCCTTAAAAGAAATGAATGGAGAAGTTACCCCTAGACTTTTACATACAACTTGCTTTTTCGGTTCACCTACCGAAACCTCGGACGACCAGAAAATGCTCCCGGGGGGGAAGCTCCTCGCCAACGCAACCTGCCGGAAAACCTGAGGCCGGGAGGCGCGTAGCGCGCCCCAGGATCAGCTTCGATGCCGATCTCTGCGGGGCCAAACCAGAAGTCCGCCATGGCTCGTGAAATCACCGGTCGATATATGGTAGATGCACAAGAAAGCACGAGCAAACCACACTCTTTGTTGCTGAATTTGCAGGGATGCCTTTTTCTTCCCTATATTTAGGGCAACCGTAGGATAGTGTCGGTAGGCAATCAACCGGGCTATTTGGGAAACCGTTGATGTGCGAAACAAGAAACTACGGATGTTTCAGTTCGGGGGCATCCCTGGAAACCAACAAATTCACGGTCGGGTTGGTATCAATGGGTGTGTCTCCCAAAACTATAGGTCTTAACAAAAGCAAAAGGGTCCGTTTTGGACAACTGAGAGTGGGTGGGGAAGCTCCCCAAATGGGTGGTTGTCCTCGTCTCAGGTCTCCCCACGAAAGAAATCCAAACGCAGCCTCGGAGAAGAAGCATCGCATGTGGCTACGGCCGGAGAAAGGGGTCTGGGTCGGGTCATGCGCAACAACGACGGCCATTCCACGCGTTCCCCATTTCATGCGGTCAGACAAGAGCCATCAAATCACTGCGGAATGCGCTCCCCAACATCCAAAGTAGCTACATTAAGCTGACCTTGCCTTCGGTAGCTCTGCTAGATCGTCCGAATTCCGTGTGCCAGATCCCGGGTTCTGGCCTCTTTGACGACCAAGAGCCGTCCTCAAGCATGCGCATAGGTTTCCGTCTGTTTCGGCAAATCCAAAAACACCCTCACAAGACGAGCTCCAATAGGGTGGTGTTCAAACACCCGGAAACCTTTTTGGGTCCGCTTGTTCCCCTTACTGAAAACCGGGGTCTAAAACGAAGGAAGCTACCACCCTGAGCCCATAACCCAGGAAAGGTTCTTAGAACGCTCTTGAAAGGGTTCTTTGAAGGATTCTTGCAGGGATGCTAGGAACCATTTAGGTAGCGTTGGCCCAAATGAATCGCCCCAAGCCTACATCATTACCGTCGGGCGCAGCACCTGGAAGCTGAGAAAAAAAAGAAAAAAAACAGAGGCAATGTCGCAGACTTGGAAGAATCTCAAGGGTGTGCCGTTTTTGAGGAGACACTTGTGTTTAAAGGGAACCAACCAAGCAACTTTTTGTTTGGGTCCCCTGTTGAGATAAACCATGAAATTAGGAAAGGAAGTTCAATTCGGGTCAACTACTTCTGGACGACTCTCGGCTAAATTCAATGCCGGGGGAGAATCCTTGGTTTAACACCAAAACCACATCAAGCCCTGCAACAAGTGCAATGTGCCCAGATTTCCCAAACATCCTGCAGCCCAACCCGTTCGAACCTACTTGATTGTTTCATCAAAGTCGCGCCTCATGCAGGCTTGAGGGAAACATAGCTGATGGCTTTGAATACTTCCAGTGACTTCCAGACAGTCAAACTCATGACCCGAAGTCCAAAGCGACGAACAATCTGCCCGATCCCTCCCTGACGAAACCTGCCAGGCCCCTCGGTCTGGATCCAACTTCTCGGGGCACTCTCCACGCCCAAAGGGGTTCCTCAAGTCATCTCCCGCGCCCCGAATCCATGGTCCAAAGGGCCTAGGTCCTGCGCACACAAAAACCAACACGCATCTATTTGCAAAGAAGCCAGTCCACAGGAATTTCTGAGACTTGCACCTTGCGGGATGGCAATGCTTATATAATTAGCTTCGTATGGAGACATGCAGCCGAGACGTCTTGCCAACCTTGAGAGAATCTCCTGCCCACAGAAATGGAGCCCAACAGAAGGGTGCCAAGACAAAGCAATCCAATCAGATTCCATACACTGCATTTTCAAATAGTGCAACCCAACACATGGAGCATGTGTTTCTTGCACATTGTAGCACGTCCATACGGTGGATGCCCCAAATATTGCAACTAAGAAAACAACCCTCCCCCCCTGCACCTCCTCCCTGTGGATGGTTGACTTGCAATTTCCAAGGCATCCTCAAAACAAATCAAGAAACGATTCCTTTTGCCCGGTTCTTGTTGATGGCTGACCCGCAAGACCCCGCAAAATTTGGCCAGTTGCCCCGGGCCGCGGGGTCTGAGCTGCTGGCGTTCTCGATCTTGCTCGCTACCTCCTCTAGGGCCTGCGAAAACGGCTTGCTCCCTGCATCCCCCCCGGGAGCATTTTCTGGTCGTCCGCGTGAACCGAAAAAGCAATTTGTATGTAAAAGGTCTAGGGGTAACTTCTTCATTCTTTCCAGGGATTACTCTTTCTGGAAAACCACCAACAACCCTGGTGAAATGGCTGGTTGTTGAAAAGAACGATGGCTGAAAACAATGTGAAACATCAACCCCTAGAAAAAGGTGTAAGGGGCTAGGGTCACATCAAAGACTGGCCACAGGCAACCAGAGTCTTCGGGACCCAAATCCGAAGCAAGGAGATCTGCACCTATCTATCACGCTGCCCCCACAAAAGTTGGACGTTTGCGGGATATGTGGTCAAGAAATGTCTATGCTCTCCTTCTAGCTGAAGGTCAAGGATCCAACAGCCAAGCGAGAACCCCCTTACCTTCAAGTCCCCGGTTGCTTGTGGCTGCCTTGGGTCCGGCCGGAGGTCCTCGGCGAAGAAAGGAGCATTTAACATCCCAGTGGTGGATTCCGGGCACCGTGAAATTACAGGGATCCTTACATTATTCACCTGAACATTGCCTTGTAAATGGTGGTTTCCCATTGTTTTGGTGGAAAAAGATGTATCTTTTAAGGAGCCCTGAAGTATGTTTGCTTTTTTGGTTCCCCACAACAGACGGCCCTGGCCCCTCCATGTGTTGGAATTTGCGAGTACTATGTACGTCAATGAAAGGGAACTGGTCAGGGGGGAACCTGCACGGAGGGTCCCTCCCGACTGCGGCACGCAAGAAAGCGCGGTGGACTTTTGTACGCACCATTCCCCCAGAGGAAAAAACACATTTCTGGGGTCTCCTTCAACTTGCTGGTGCGATAGGCAGAGAAGAAATGGAACCCATCCCTAGCCATCCCTCGGGTTTGCATTTCGGGACTCCCCAAAAGCGGCTCAGTCTTCCAGATCCCCAAAGGCGTTTCCCATCGCTCCCGGTTCCCCGGCCTGCACCTTCTCATCGGCCGGCTCCGCACCTGAGCCCAGAGTTCGGGGGGGCCTTTCTGGGAGGTTCTCAAAATGGAGCGGCGCCAAAAAAAAAACGCCAAACTACGGAACCGCTCTGGTGAGAACCCAAGCATATGCCAAAAACACATGTTGTGGCCCCGTGGGACTTTGAGGGAAACACCGGGCACATAGCAGGAAAGTTCTGCAATGGGCAAGGCTTGGGATAAATCAGCAAGTTCTGGGGTCCAAGATGTTCCCTCCCACCAATGAACATTATAATTAACATGGAACCTGACAGGGGGTCTGGAAGATCATTTCGCTCTAAAGGGACCCCTGTCAGGTTCCATGTCAATTCTTGGGAGGGTACCAAGCCTTTAAATGAACTGGAGAAGGGTTCCAACCATCCTGTCCATTGCTCATGTGGGCTGCAACTAGCTGCAATCGAGCCATTCATTGGTGCACGCAACCTTGGCGCGCAGAATGACTGTTGACATGATGAGCTCAACTTCTGCAACAGGCATAGAGTAAGCTAACATCCAACAAATGGAGCGGAATTCCTACCTTGAGATGCTTCAGAAACGTCAGCACTGAACATGGCAGGATTGGGTTGAAGCCATAAGTTGAGCATTTTCTCACTTCTCTCCTCCCAAGGCGAAACCCCGAAGACATCTGTGAGTTCTATGATGATTCCAGGAACTCCGAAAAAGGACTCTTCCGGATTCCTGATAGGCACAATGCGCACCCTGGTTTGCACTGTCACAAGTGACGTTTGCAGACAGGTTCGTTGGTTAAACCACAGCAAACTTGGAGTTCAAGGAAAATGGTAGATGCAAGGCTTCTCGGTCATATTAAATTAAGCATTTAAGTTTCAGCCCGGATAACCACTCTTGCCAAAACATAACTTGCAGTTGTAGACGCCCGTATGTGTGATCTTGACATATGTCAGGAAGACCTGTGTCCAATGTCCAATCACGTGTCAAGCGTGTCAAACAACCAGGAAATCATACGCAGGGCTGTACCTCGACAGGATCAAGCTTCAGATCGTTTCACCATGAGGACTGAACTAGAAGTGCAACTATGAATATTGTGTCTTATGCTTATATACATGTATAATATATAAATATGCTAGTCTGTCATGTGTGTATTTATATATATATATATATGTGTTTGCAACAGGACCACCATCACTTTCGGGTGGGTCCAAATCCGTATGTCGACAAATTGATGCATGTCAAGGGCCAAGAAAAAGAAAACTGAGAAGGCCCACTGGATTTTCATGGGACAAATCGGCACCCGTTTGTGGGTTGATTTTGGGAAACCCTCTCCAAGAAAAAAGATAAAAAGGAATCGCACCACTGAAGGTCTTGGCAAGTTGAAAGTCAAACTCGGGTGCGCCACACACACACACAGAGACCGCATGGGAAAACTGAAGGAACGGTTCTCGGCAACCAGACCCTTGCCCTTGTACGCGCCCTTGCCTCTCCTGGCATATGCTGCAAGCCGTGCGCAGGGGAGGATCTGAACATATATCTTATCTGTATATACATACAACATATATATATATATATGCGTATAGCTTGGTAGCTAGAGGAGTTGGTGTGGGTTGCTCACAAAAAGGGCTGTTTAGGTAAAACTCGTAGGTGGACAAGCTGTCCTGGGGGTTTCTTAGCTTCCTAATTGTGAACACACCCCTTGCCAGAATGTGCAACCCATCAAAGGGGAAAAACACTGGCCTGACATTAGAGAAAACCGAGTGTTGGGAAGGCGTTCCGTTCGTGGGTCACACTTCAATGCCTTTGAGTGCTCCAACCAGACGACTTTTTATTGGAGTGCAAGTTGGCTCGTCTTGGCACGAATGTGGTTTGGGGAAATCTGTTCTGATCCTTTCATAGTAACCACAGACCCTCTAAAAAGTCAGCAAAGGCAACAAGCCGTTGCGAAAAGATAAGGAGGATCCCTTCCGCCGCAAAGTGGCGCACCCCAGCCAGCCCCAGCAGCCCGCAAAAAAAGGGGGATCCAAGTAAGCCACACCCCTCTGCAACAACTGGGTTCAATGGAAAACCCTTGAGCTCCCAAAAAGTTCGTCTAAACAAAGATCCACCCCAAAAAGAATCAAGTGCCCGCGAACCGCCGAGCTTCCAGGATCGGGTTCGCCAGTCCCAGCATCCGATTCAATCCAACCACGAAAATAGGCAGTCTAAAGTGGGTGGTGAATTCAGCCAATACCAAAATGGGATCCGATCTTTTTGAGCGGTTTTGACAACGCCAGATCGTTTTATCTGGAAAGGGGAGCGCATGGACTGATGCCCAATTCGGCTGCTTCGGCCCTTGCAGTCCTGGCGGCATACGCGATGATGCCAAACCTTGGAAAAGGGCACATCGATGCGGCGAACAGCATAGGGGAGTGTCCTTTTGCAGGGGAACCCGTTTGCTGGTGGTCCAAAAGGGAACCCTTTTGCTGGTGGCCCAAAAGGGGACCCTTTTTGCTGGTAGTCCAAAAGGGAAACCAAAAGGAATACCAACAGGAAAAACAAAAGGAGCACCACTCTTTGGGCCCGCCCAAGAAAAGACACCTCCATGTTCTTTCTCAATACAGCGCTTAGACCAGGTCCTCAGAGATCTCCAAGCCGAGACACTGGTTTTCGATGCAAGGCTTCTATAAAATGATATGAATTCAAGCCTTCCACGGTATAGGAGATGCTCTAAATGAACGCCGAATGGTGAAAGTCTGGCTCAAGCAAGGGGAAACATGCACCGCCATTCACGTTTTCCTCTGCATCTAAAAAAGAGGTTGCAAGAGTTCGGTGTCTGGCAGGCCAAGAGGTGGGGAGTCGAAATGTTCACAGCTGGGTGGGGGAAAGCTGTGAGGGAATCTCGAACATGTTCAGAACAGCGCTGATGCCTCAAACCAACGCTGCCTAGGCGATCCTACAGATGAACAAAATTGTCTATGAGGATGTGGACCTTGCAGTGTCTGAAAGGTGTTGTACACCTTGAAAGCTTCAATCCAGCAGCTGTGCCCCTAGGTGCAGTAATTGGTTCTTCTTGTACCAAGGGGTTTACACAAATGGGACCATTTCTGGACGTCACGAACCTCCCGAATCGGAAGGCACGGGATCGACTCTGGTTAAAGTTCACAAACCACAAGTAAACATCCAAGGAACCTAGGTCCTCCAGTAGAGAGGTTAGAATATGGGAACCCTTTTTTATGTAGTCTATTTTAGTAGGAGAACCCTCCCGCAAAAAAGGGGAAAAGGGCACTACTGGGACCTAGGAACCTTCACAGGCGACAGGCTTGCAACAGAGCTCGTTCTGTGTTGCCAAGCTGGTCCTTACTTTCCAGGATTTTCTCAAACATCGGCCCGCTAAGGCTGGTTTCCTGTTAAAAAAAACGCACACCCAAATGCTCGGCATGAGCTCCCGGCGCTTTGGCAATTTGCTCTACCAGGTCTTTGGCGTCGCCCGTCGCCTCGCCGAGAGCGGTTTTTTGGAGTTTCCGCGAGCAGTGGTTTATTTGTCCCAAAAATATTGGGACCGCGAAAAAGGTCCCCTATTGAGGTCCAAACCTGTTCGAATGGATATCCTAATGATGCTTAAGGTTGCTCAAACAAAAAGGCATTGGGTCTGCAAGTGCCCCCCAAGGAAATAACCAAACGGCCCTGCAGCAAAGGCTCCATTCAAGTTGCCTCAGAGACCACTCCAACCATCCAAATATGTGACAACCTGGGACACCAGCAAACAAGCCCTCAACAATTACAAGGGCTCGCCTCCACGTCAGATCCGTTGGAGTAAAACAACACATCCCTGGGTCCCTGGGCGTTTCTCAAACTTCACTCACTCGGGAACAGGCTCGTCCATGTTGCGTCACCTTTCAAGGCCCAACCCATCCCCAGATTGACCAGGATGTCAAATGTGTCTGGCCTAAAAGCCACCCTCAAGTTGCATTTGCTGGGGATGTAGGAAGGTAGTCGTAGAACAGCGATTCGGAAATACGTGAAAAAGTAGGAATCGTGATTTGTGGAGGCTTTTATACCAGTGGTTAAGGCTACTGAGTCAGTGGTTCATGACCATGAGGTTAGAGCCATTGCAAGTAAAGTGGGCGATAAACGAGGTTACGACCCACTTAGCAAGTACCTTGCCACTGTAAGAAACAACAAACCCTTGGGTACCAACCACTTAAAGCATCAATCCCCTTGGTTACCTGCCACAAGTATCACCCCCCCGTCTCGCTGCGTGGCTAACAGCCCGCCTTGTCCGAAAGCTCCAAGCGGAGATCGGTGCAGCAGAACTTCTTCGCCATCAGCCGACACGCCTCGAAAAGAACTGAAGCAGGGCCGAAGCATCTTCAGTTCTGGTGAGAGGGCTTCCTGGTCAAGAGGAAGGAGAGCGCTTCTTTCATCACAGAGAGACGGGTGTTGGTGAGTTGATCAGGGATCCTTACAATGGACCCATCTGAACATTGCAACTTGTAAATGGTGGTTTCCAACTTTCTTTGGGTGTTCAAAAAGCAACATGTTTCAAATGGTTGCGACATGTATCTTGTTAGGAGTCATGTGACGACCTCGCGATTTCAATGTGGCCAAAAGTGCACCCTGTGGTCGGTAGTCTGTTTTGGGTGCCCTTCCTCCCACGTTGCCATGGCACCTGAAGGGCCGATTGAAGAGGAAATCGATCTTCCAGGTCCCCCCCCCCCCGGACAGATGTAATGCTCGTGTGAGGAAGGGCAGTCCCTTTTTTGATAGTTGATTTGAAAAGAGGGACAACCCCTCCAGAATGAATTACACCCACTAGAGGTCTACGGTGCAAAACGCCAGAAACCAGCAGCCAACAGGGGCTCTGAAATGATCCGCCTGCGCATTACGCAGCTTCCCTCTAATTGGTGGCTGGATTGGTGGAGGTTAGGCGGTGGTTTCCAATTTACCCTGCAAGAACCAAGGGTCCCAAACCCTCAACCACCAACCCGAAACATCATTTTGGGGGTAGCTCGAATTGCCAGACCCCCGCCGCCCAAGAAACAACAAACACAAATGCTTGTCCACACATGCTTCTCGTATTTTGGTCGGGTGGTAGACTGTAAAGATTTGAAGGGCTAAGTTGTATCCTTTAGAACACTGTGAGCAAAAAACAATGTGATAACAAAGTGTTGTGGTGCTGCTCGTGCTTGGTGTTTGGCTCAATTTCTGAGAGGATTGGCCAAAAAAAGTCTGAACTTGCTATTTACCACCAAACGCTTAAA